GTTTAAGAGAAGCTGTTAGCATTCCACATTATCAATTCTATTATGCATTACAGTAAAAATGTAGGAAATTAGTTAGAAAAATTGAAATATCTTCTTTTCCTAAAGGTGCAAATGAAATGCTGATATAAATTATTAGAATGCATCAGTAGTGAAAATAAAGACCATTTGCCATTAGCACCAATATTTTCAGTCCATAAGGATATCTTTTACATCTTGTACTGGCTAGTGTCTGACTTTTTTCCTTACTGTGTTTGAGACAGCTAGAAAACGAATTAAGACATAGACATTGCAATTCTGTACATATCAGAAATACTCAATTTTTGCTTCCAATGATTTGCATATTAAACGAATAAAGCGTAACTTAAATTCATAGAAACAAGACATTATGGAGCCCGGCGCGGTGGCGCAAGTGGTTAAGGTCCTCGCCTTGCACGCCCAGGATCCCATATGGGCGCCGGTTCTAATCCCGGCAGCCCCGCTTCCCATCCAGCTCCCTGCTTGTGGCCTGGGAAAGCAGTCGAGGACGGCCTGGAGCTTTGGGAACCTGCACCCGCACGGGAAACCCGGAAGAGGCTCCTGGCTTTGGATAGGCAGAGCATTAGATCGGCATAGCATCGACCGTTGCGCTCACTTGGGGAGTGAATCATTGGACGGAAGATCTTCCTCTCCGTCTCTCCTCTCTGTATATCCGCCTTTCCATTGAAAAAAATAATAAAAATAAATCTTTAAAAAGAAAAAAAGAAACAAGACATTATGATTGTAAGTTGTGTGTTATTTAACCCTGAAGTTTCAACTACCCATTAAAATTCACAAGTGCGACCATGTGACAGCTGGCAGCACGGATGTCTACTCTACTGAAGAAGGAAAAGACTTTCAATACAATAATTTATGTTAAATTCACATTGTGTCTTATCTTGAAAATTCTGAAATCATAATACATGGACTTTGTTTAAAATTCTGAGTTAATTTCCATACTAACGTATTTTTAAGTGTATTGTCGCATGAGTAAGCAGCAATAGAAGTTTGATGTTTGTTTTTCCATCCAGAAGTATTTTTTTGTTTTTGTAAACCAGGTATAAAGGGCCTATGCTTTCTATGAAAAGAGTTTATGATTTCAGAATATTCTCATCTACATTTTACTTAGTTGGAGGAGATTAAGTCATATAAAATAACCAGGTATGAAGCACATGAACATGAAAAGACTTGCTTACTGAATGTGAAACAGAATAAAGGTAAAACTGGTTCCACCAAAAACTTGACTTTTCAAAGAAGCAAGATTGAGAATTATGCGTGGAGTAGGCAAACTTTTCAGTATTTGGGCTTGGGGGTAATGAAACATGAAATATAACTAGATTTGATAATGATTAATAAAGTACGTGATGTCAATTATATACAGTGTGTTAAGACTTGCCTATTAAATAGGTCTTTCATTTTTCTTCATAGAAATTAGTAATTCTTTGGCTGTCTTTGAGCTCTCCACTTCCAGCTTACTGTTTTCTGATAAATCCTAAAATTTCTTCTGATTCTTTTGTTATTATTGTGGTTTGCTTTTATGTAGTATTGAGTTTAGAAAAAGGACACATTGATTAAAAACTTGCAATTTTGCATCATAATTTTACTTTTTCTGAGTCCTTTTACTTGTTCTTGATGGCATGCTTGGTCCAGCCATCATGTGTCCTTTAAAGTGATGGGAATGAATGACTCATCATTTATTTTTGGGGAAGTCTCAGCCGTGTAATGAAAAAGGGAAAAAATAACACCTGCAGAAACAAACTGCATTTAAAGTTCTGTTTTCTAAACTGCTAATTTTATCCAGTGTTAACTTTCATGCATTTGTATTACAGGTGAAGTGAGTCTGAAGCACAAACATATGAGATATTTTAAGTATATATTTATGTAGGATATGTAAGCATTAAACATAAACAAACATTTTATCAAGCAAAAATTCAGCAGTATATAATTCTTTTAAAGTATATTTGATCAAATGTCTACAGGTGATGAGGCTTGCATTTTATTTTTTTATTTTACTTTTTACATTTTATTATTATCATTATTATCATTTTATGATACAGTTCTATGGGTTCCTGGTATTTCCCTTATCCCAGCCCCAATACCTCCCCCACTGCCTAGTGGTAACTTTACCTGCTAGGTGACACGATGCCAGCCCCATTTCTATCTTAAAAGCTAAAAGAATCCTATACTCCCATAGCTATGAATAGTAAGTTGTCCTATATTATTAGTAGTTTGTGGATTTTGTATTAGAGTAAATATTGTTAAAAAGAATAACTGTTACTTGCATATTTTAGTATGCAAATTTTGTCAGACATTGCACCATGAAGAGTTTGTTTCTCTATTCTTTCTATTTTCTTTGCTGTATTTCACTTCTGAATGTCCATCATTCCTGTTACCAATAGAACAAATGTGGGAAGAAATGCACAGGCCCTTTACTTTCACTTACAGGTAGACTTAAGCTAATGTAACTGAACAACCTTGTGGTTTTTAATATATTTTCTTTCCTTTGTTTGAGATTTATTATTTTTATTGTAAAGTCAGATTTACAAAGAGGAGGCACAGAAAGATGTCCCATCTGCTGGTTCACTCTTCAACTGGCCACAACAGCCAGAGCTGAGCTGATCCGAAGCCAGGAGCCAAAGCCAGGAGTCAGGAACCTCTTCCAGGTCTCCCGCGTGGATGCAGGGTACAAAGTATTTGGGCTGTCCTTGACTGCTTTCCCAGGCCACAGGCAAGGAGCTGGAAGGGACATGGAGCAACCGGGATAAGAACCAGTGCCCATATGGGATCCCAGTGCATGAAAAGCAAGGACTTTAGCCACTAGGCTAATGTGCCAGGCCCCTCCCTTTTTTGGTATGGATAATTAAAGAGTAAAGGAGTTAAATGTAAGACCAATTAATGTAGCACAATGAGAATGAATTCATGTGTCTAGGTGTAGTTAATGTCTGGTTTAAGTTGGAGAGTTTGGGGTAGGGAGGGAGATAAATAGCTTGTGAATACTTTGACTTTCTCTTTTGTCCTCTGCGGAAGAATTGCACTGCATGCAATCAAGTGTTTTTATCTTTGCATCTGGAAATGTGTTTCAGCTTAAAATGTTCCTTTTCATTTAGTTAAAATATCATTACTTATTGTTCTAGGAGGTTTAAAATTATGAAATATTTGGTGGGAGCAATGGTTATCTCCCTATTTTACTAAAAATAATCATTTTCTTCAAAGGGCATTGTTTGATTTGTCACCCAATCATTGTTTGAAAAATTAATGTTATAATTAAAATGTGATACTTAAATAGAGGAAATAGTTTCCATAATTCCATTCACAGGCTGAATTCGATTAATCTATACTTGGCACTTTACAAATATTTAACAGTTCAATCAAATAAGGACATTCTAAAAGTTTTGTTTCAAGATTACCCAGGAAGAATTAAAGATCTAAATATTTGATTAAGTTTCCTGAAGGAAGGGAGGAGAGAAGGAGGGAGGGAGGTAAGAGTGAGGAAAGAAGGAAAACATGGTGGGAGGAAGGCGGAATCCTGGGCAAGGCCGTGACAAACAGAGCTTCCACTGCTCTCGGCAATGGCTACACCAAACGACGAAGTCAAAAGCTTTTATTACTATAGATTTTGAAAAACTTAGACAATTTACATTTCCACTAAAACTTTTCTGAAAGTCAAAGATATGGCATATTTTTGATATTTACAGCTCATGTAAGACAAAGAATTAAATAGTTCTTCTCTGCATATACACACATATACTTAATAATGATAGATGTAATTATTAGCATGGTCCTGTTTGAGTAATGGAATGTTAAATGAGTAAGAGCATAATGAATGGATAAATGGTTTTGAATATGCAAATGCCTGAGTCACCAGTGCCTCAGAAGTCTTTTTGCTTCACCTCATCTCCCATCTTTTTTAATCCAAGTCTGGAATTCTGAACGTGAGACCTAATTACTCCTGGAGGAGACTCATCTAATCACCATTCTAACCGTTGGCTGTCTACTGTTTGAACAGGGACATTGTGATCCTGGCAGTTTACACGATGTCACATTTTTCTGGCCATGTAACTGGGCAAGTCCACGCTTGGCCATGAGCCCAAAGTTGAGACTAACTTACGTTATGTTTGACCTGAAAGTTAAACATAAATTGTTAAAGTTTTCTGAAAATAAATATAAAAAAGCACAAAAAAATTAAAAAAAATTTATATATGGGGGGGGGGGGGGGGGGGTTGGAGTTATTTGGGTTTGAATGGCAATAAGATCTGGCAATGGAAGTCAAAAAAGGGCTGTGACGTGCTGCTATCCAGAACTGGAAATTCTTACCAGGGTAAAGCAAGTTGGTAAGGTCAGTGATGGTCATACATACACTTGGGAACATAAAGACTGCTTTTTTTAATGGATTTGATGGGGTGAGGTGGAGGTAAGTATTTTGGCAATCAGATGTTGCATAGATCGTGGACTTTTGAGAGTGGAATTGATGATGAAATATTAATAATGTGGTTGAAAGGTAGCGGGATTTTATTGTATTACTATTGAGTGGTAAAGGGAGAAGGGATTGAAGGGATTGTGTGTTGTGGGGTTTTTTTGTGTATGGAGTTATTTCAATATGGAGATTTATATTTTTGGAGGGATAATTTTGGGTGGTGGTTGAAGTTTTGTTGGGTTATTTTGGTTGGGGGGGGAAGGTTTTTTGTTTTGTGTGTGGGGAGGTTTGAGGAGGAATTAGGTAAGGATTATGTGTTTTATTTGGTTAGGGTATAATGGGTTTTTGTAAGTGGGGGAGTGGTGTTGGTTTATGAAAGTTAGGTTATGTTTGTGTGTAGATGGGGGGGGTTGTGGTTTGGGGTGGAATGGGGGTTTTAAGAAAGTTGATGAGTTGATTATAATTTCTTAGAATATCAGGGTTCATATTGGAAACAGATGCAATTATTGTTTGTAAAAAAAATAGATAACGATAGGTGCTTTACACACACAAAATGGCTTATGAAGAGTGGTTAGGTTGATTGGAGATGACATGAGATCACTGAGTATCTATCTCGGTTCTTTGAGGGGTTGCTCCGAGGTCTTCCTTCTAGCAAGCTTAAATAGATGTCAGATTTCAAAAATCGTGTGTAACTGTCTTGTTCCATGAGCTGATACACTCTACTCTGTGCAGCATCAAAACTGTGGAGGGTGGGCTGGACGATGCTCTGGGAAATGCCTTCCTTGGTGTGAAAATCAAGGTTAACCTGGTTAGACAGGAGAAAAGTTTTGTTAATATTCAGTCTGCCAACTTAACAGTACATGACAGATGCAATTTTGCAGTGGACATTGTTGTATTTGGTTGATGAGGATCCTTTCCTGCTATCGTCCAGCGATCTCGGGATTTGCTACGGACTGCATTTCATCCGGCCTTCTCTCTCACTCTCTGCTAATTTACAATGATGGCGTATTGCAGTGCTAGATCTCCTAAAGGTAATTTGGTTAATTCACTTATTTTCAAAGTAGAGGAATGCAAATCCCATAGCTGAAATATCTTCAGGAATGACAAAGAGTGAGCTCAGACAATATTTGGTATTTGCATAAGGGGCTTCTGTTTTGCTCAGTACTATGCAATGCTGCAATGCTTTCATTCATTGCTAGAGGTGTGTGTGTGTGTGTGTGTGTGTTCTGATGATATAACTTTTTGCAATATCTTATCCCACTGCTGCTGACAGAGCCAGCTCTGTTGGTCATCGGTTTTCAGGGAGGGGCTTTTACTTTTCCCTTGTGGGTGATAACACACAACTGCCTGAGTCTCTTTGTTTCTTTACCTATGAAAATAATCGGTTTTGGGGAAGACAGAATAGAAATATAAGACATTAAAGATTGTTAAGCAAGAACTATAGTCTTCATTGCTTGTGGAACAATATCTAAAAAGAGAATGCTACCTCCTATCCCTTCTCGGCCCTTTGGCTAAGATCAAATATGAGAATAGCTCCCGGACAGTACTATCTTTAGATAAACTCAACTGCCCATGATGACAGTCAGCTCTGTCAACTCTATGAAGAGGTTCTAGTCAAGAAACACCTAACGGGAACATAGAAACTGTTTAATTTATATTCATGTGCTCTCGAGCAATATTTGCTAGTTTTGTATCATTTTATTGATTGCATAACTGATTCCGATTGAATTTGTAGGAAACTGTTTTTTTCCACTTGCAACCTGATCAGACAAGGTTTTCTTCATTTGTCTGATATGAGATATTTTTTCAGCTGATTGTAGAGAATAATCCGTCACATGGATAAACAAAATATTGTGTAGACAGATGAGGTGATATTAAAATGAAACATGAGACAGATGTTTAGATTTCTCATATTTGTCACTTAAAAAACATTATTTCAAGAAGTTTTGGCTTCCTTAAAGGTTGGTGATGATAAGATAGTTAATGTGTACACATAATTAATTGCAACTATTTGCATTCAGCCTTAGTTTGGCATGAAAATAACTGACTTCAATTAAACTTCATTTTGTTAGTATCATACAGTGTCCTGTGTGTATGAAGAAGTGCATATAGCCGTAGTTGCTTCAGCTGGATCCTGAGCTTTCTGCAGAACCTGGGTCCCTCATTGTAAACGTTTGCAATCGCCTTCACTTGTACCTCTTGTGGAGCATCATTCTGAATAAATTTCTCAAATATGGCTTTTGCTGTAAGAGCGATTTGTTGAGGATCCTTGATTTTTTTGAAATCTTCACAAGCTATCCAAAATTCAATGTTTTCTTCACTGAATTCATTTTTAAGAAATCTGGTGAAAGCTTCTAATCCATCTACAAAAAAGAGAAATGATGTATTTTAGATATACCATATTAGTACTGGGAAAATAGTCTATAACTATGAAATGTACCAGAAAAACTTTGTCTGTTCTCTAAAACACACAGCAACACACTTCACACAGAGTAGACAGGTGGGACTTTGCACAGCTGACACAACCATAAGCAGTAAATACTGTTGCCATTGACATACTTAGACCCTCATCCTGGGTCCTGAAACTAAATGGAATTTCTGCTATGGACATCATTTTACAACTCTTTTTTTTCCCCATGCCCTCCCAGGATGTGAGGACTTATTCCATATGGCCAAGAGGCTGTGCAACTCAGGTTACATTCCACCCATTTCTGGACCATGCTTCTTTAATCAGGATCCCAGAATTCCCTGTCCAAAGATTATGTTTCTAGGTTTTATAGGGCACCCCTTTCCACAATCTGCCATCCAAAATAGTATAATAAATTTGTGTACACATTGTAACTTGATCTATAACTCATAAACATGTAGACATATTATAGGGACCCTTCATTTAGGAAACTCTTGCCCTAAATCACATAAGTGTTAAGAGGGGATGCTGATGGTGTGATTTTTATCATATATTTAAGCTGCAACATTTAAAGCTAACATGACTGGTATATCTCGGTTTCAATACTATCGCAATGTGACTTAAAACTGGGTGCTTTAAAAAATAATGCTTTTGTCATTTTTTTGTTTGGTTTGTAGGTGTACTTAAAATTAAATTTATATATTTTGGTATAAATATAGACCTACATGTTTATTTTGTTGACATCATAGAGAGATCCTACCTATTCTTTATTCAGTTTCCATCAATGTTAGCATTGAGAATCGACAGTAAAATGTCAGTTTATTGACAGTAATGGATGCAAGCCTTACAAGTGCAGTTCGCTGTGCCCTTCATCTTTCATTGCACTCAGGTCTCTCCCATGCCCAAGCCCCCCTTAACTCAAAGGAAGCATGAACCCATCTTGTACTAACATAATTTTGTCAATTCAAGAATTTTGCATACATAAGTACAAATGTTTTGTGTGGGCTGGCTGTTTTTATGCATCTTAATTCCCTGGAGATGATTTAAAGCTGATATGTGTTCAATCGTCTGTTTCCTTTGATCAGTGTGTTGTATTCCATGACATGCATACATGATGGTTTGTTTAACCTTTCACCCATTGAAAAGCATGGATTATTTCTATGCTATTTTTTTATTAATTACATTCCATTATGTGACACAGTTTCATAGGCTCTGGGATTCCCCCATTGCCTCCCCGTGGCCTCGCCCCATAGTGGATTCCTCCACCTTGTTGCAGTATTGTAGTTCAAATTCAGTCAAGACTCTTTCATTGCAAGCATATACCAAGCATAGAGTCCAGCATCTCATTGTCTAGAGAAATTTCTAGAAATTTCATCAGTTTCTTGGGTAGACCATCTCTGATCTGAAGGCAGATCTGGCAGAATATCATCCTGATCATTTAAAAGCCCCCAAATAACATTAACAACAATTTACAACATTGTGTAATTATTGACATGGGATTGAGTAACCAATATGTTTTAAAAAATGCAAGTTTTTAACCACATCCTATGACTACTTCATTGACATTTCAATTTTAGTTTACATACAACTGGCTTCTATACACCTTTAAATGGCTATCGGGTACTATTCAGCTGACTTGTGTCTATTTTCGTTTTAGTATTTAGCCATTTATAGTGTTGAAGTATAATTTTGCTGAACCTGGCTGTTTTAGGGTGGTCTAAATGGTTTATAACTCTAACAAGGCATATGTCAACAGTTTAAGTGCAGAACAGTTTTAGGAGGGGTGTGCAGAGAAATCCTCAATACCCTAGTGAGGAGTAACTAATGTTTTGTGTCCTACCTAGTAAGATATATGTGAATCCACGCTGTTTCCTGTCTGATTCTAAGCTTTTCTTATTGTTCTCTATCTATTGTAGTTTTTTGTTTGTTTGTTTTTAGGGGGTTCTGGAGCGACCCTGATGGTCATTGCAAGAGACGGTGGGAAGCCAAAGTTGGAACAAAGCAAGGACCTGAGAAAGCTCCTCTCCCTAGTCCCAGAGGAAGTTTACTGTTCTGTTTCTGCGGACTGCTTAGGGCTCCTGGTTGTTGTTCCTATGACCGCTATTTTGTTGCTACAAATAAAGCTGCTATAAAAATCTAGATACTGTCTTTAATGTAAACCCATTCTTCTTTTTCTGGAATAAATCCCAGTTAGTGAAATTGTCTGGCCCAGTGGTAGTTACAATGTAGAAGCAGCGAGTGCAGGGGCAATATGTTCTGAATGGATATTTCAGATAAACTTCCTCAGAAAAGCTGCTTTCAAGTTGAATTTACATGATTAGTGTTGCTCTCGCCCTCTAGTTAAGGCCCGTTGTTTTTGAAGTTATTACACAGAGAAATCTCGTGAGTCCATTGGGATTTTCACTCGGCAGCATGACCGTAATGACCACCTCCTTAGAGGAAGCCTTCTCAAAGTAGGGTTCTGGGATTTGCTGTCTCCTGGTTCACGTGCTTGGTCCCCTCTGTGTGCTGTTTTCATTTGGTCTGTTCCCCAGGACTCTGTCCTTGAAATTCTTCTTTGCAATTCCCTTTCATCATCTCATCTCCTAATACCTTCTGTTCACTTTTCCCTGAAAATCCTTGGCCATTGTATTGTGCTATCCTTTAGTCATGTTGTTGGCACTTGAAGATTATACAAAAGGCATTAAAACAATGTTGGAAAGGCTTAATAATGTTTTTTTAAATAAGCTATCATTTCAAAAATTAATTTTAATATCAGACATAAAACTATTATAAGAAAAATCTCTTGATTTCAAGAATTCTTCTAGTTACTGAGTTATATTTTCCCCTTAAAAATGTAAGCTCTTTAAGTTTCTTGCACTTGGTCTGTTAATCCCCTCTGCCTCATTTGCTTCCCAAAACACTGAAATGGGATTGCTATTCTACACTTGACTTAAATTAGTTTTTCCAAACTGGTTTAATGTCATATTCAGTGAATATTTTGTTTCAGTCCATAGGCTAGTGCATCTCTGTGCAACATCGGGCTTGATGGAGACAGGTCTACAATTCCCTTGTATGGAACCTGCTGCTATAGGTTTCTTCTTACACCTGTGATTGTTGCTTCTCTGGATTCTTCTCAATTTATTCTTTTTATCCTTCTATTCCATTTCCTGGAAAGCAGTATCGGTGCTCACCTATAGTCAGCACACTGATGAACTCAGAGTTCACTGCCTGGCACTATGCTGAACTACAAGTACTCACCGGCTACCATGCAGTAACTCTCCTTCTGTGTTCCTTCTACAGCAGTTACATCACAGTCACATCTGTGATTTTCACCCAATGACTCCCTTGCCTGTGTTGACCAATGAAATGCTGTGTCCACGCAAGGATTTCAAGCAGAAGTTTGCCATTTACATTCAGGAAAATCCGATTTCCCTCTAATCTCACACAATGTTAGTTTATCAAATATTGCCTCTTTTTCCTCTTTGATATGCCCTAAATTTGTTTTTTATGCTATTGGTGGTTACTCTTCAAATCTGGATAACCTAATGTTGATTGTTTTAAGAACTTCCTCCATGGCTGCTCTCTCTGGTTCTAGGCTTACCTTCCTTCCTCTTTAATTTCAACGACCCAGTTTCATAGTCTATTTAAAAAATCTATTTGGAAATTAGAGATCATCTTGGCTGAGAAGGCTTCACAAATCCCTGTGGAAGTTGTAGCATACCCTTCTGAAGCCTCAGGAAACTGGCTAGCACACCGAATTCTGTGTGGCCCATGCCTGTCATTTCTCCTACAGCGTGGTGTGATGTATGGGGTAGGAACCCTTGCCTAAGTTTTGGCTGCCAGCATGTCCTCTTTAGCATAAAGAAATAACTCAAGTAATATTTTCTAAAAGAAACACTAAAGTATTTAAACCAAAATTTAAAATAAAACACTCATTAGCAACACAAAATGAATATTTTTGCATTTGAAACAAAATAACAGTCTATACTATTTATTAGAGTAATTAATTAATACACGCAGTAAGCACTAACATGAAAGCCATTTTTCCCTATTTGAAGCATGAAAAATATTTGTAATTAAAATATGCCTGCCCATTTAAGATGTTAATCCTTTTCTTAATCTGAGCCATTAAATTATTTAGTTAGTGTCCTATTGCCATGCTGGAAAGCAAGATTTTGATATGATTTGGAAAGTAGAGAAATGGCTCTCAATGACTGCTTTATTTATGAATCTATATTATCCAGCTGGAACTTAGTCTCCTGAGTGCGAACTTTCTACTGAATCGGTCCTTCCTGGAATGCTAACAAGATGGCATCAAATTCGAGAATCTGCATAGTTGGGTCTCAGCCCATGTGGCTTCAGACATACTTTTCAGGAGGGACGCTGATCTCTCTTTGGTTTCACTCAGTGCCCTAATCCCATGTTGTATCTCTGTCTTTGGTCAATTTTATTATTAAATATGTTTGTTAGCACCCTGAATTTCTCTTCTTTTAAAAGATTTATTTATTGTTATTGGAAAGTCAGATTTACAGGAAGAAGGAGAGACAGTAAGAAATATCTTCCATCGTCCGGTTCACTCCTCCAACTGGGTGCAATGGCTGGAGTTGAGCCAGGAGCCTTTTCTGGGTCTCCCACACTGGTGCAGGGTCCCAAGGCTTTGGGCCATCCTCTACTGCTTTCCCAGGCCACAAGCAGGGAGCAGGGTGGGAAATGGAGCAGCGAGGACACACACTGGCACACATATGGGATCCTGCCGGTCGCATTGTGCTGGGGCCCCAGCACACTGAATTTCCCATTGAACAACTTTCAGCACAGAGAATTTTCCATTGAACAGGTCATTCATTTATTGAAAAAAATATCTCTTGCATTCTGGCTATGTTCTCAGACATTGATCCATGTACATGGGATCAACATTTTTAAAGGCGGTAAACAAAGTCCTAACTCAGATATTCACCTGTATCATCACTAGAAGGA